CATTAAATGTGCATCAGTTTGGCAATGCAGGCAAGGGTCCTGAGCTGTGGTGTGGTGCCCTGCCCAGGTCAAAGCCGCAGGTCCTAGCTCCACTTCCTGGGGTGCAGTGCAGAAAGCGCCCCCTGAGCAAGGCAGACGCGAGAGCTGCCACGACTCGCCTCCGTCCCTGGCTGGTGAGCCAGCCTGCCTGGTTCCGGACTCGTGGAGCCACGGCAGTGTGACCCACTGGGCGGGATGACAGAACACCCAGCCACGTGTGGATGCCGCCATGTGGGGCTGCAGTGACCAAGCACCACAGACGGGGCCTTAAAGCAGCACAGCGGTCCTCACGGTTTGGGGCTAGAGGTCCAAAATCGAGGTGTCGACAGGGCTGAGCTCCCTCTGGGCTCCAGGGGAGGCCCCTTGCTGACTCCTTGGCTTCTGGGGCTCTGGGTGCCCTGGGCTGCGTGTTGGGGCTCTCTCCCTCACTCCTGCCTCTAAACAAGTGGCCCTGGGGGCCCCAGGGGCCCCAGGGAACCACGTCTCTTCTGCCCTTGGGCTTCGCCTGGAGTGCCAGGCTGACACGTGCAACGTGGCCCAAGAGCTGCTGAAGGCCAGGAGAGCTGAGCTCTGGCCCTGTGGCGAGGGACCCTGGGCTGTGGCTGCGCCCCCAAGCTCTGCCGGAGTCTGCACGTGGCCCTCTCCCCGTTCCCCTGTAAGGACTCCAGGCAGTGGACTAGATAGAGCCCACCCTGCTCCAGGTGGCCTCATCTTAATTACAAAGTAGGGTCTGCAAAGACCCAATTTCCAAATTCTTAAGTTCTGGGTGGACATGGATGGGGGGAGGGGGTGCTAGTAGGCCCATCACACCGAATTTGTGGAAGTTAAATGAACATAATTTATGTAGAAATGTTTTATCAGGTTTTAAGATTTGACAGGTGTAAAATTAGAGGGCTGCTGAACCGTCAGCGGTGATCTTGTTTCATTCTTGATCACTCAGAATGGTTTTCTGGGTGTCCTGTGGGGGGCTGGGGTGCAGGAAAGGACGCTGGGAGCGGGGACAGAAGCTGGTGGGGTACGAGACTGAGCAGGGGCTCTTTCTGGCTGTAGAGCTGAAAAGGGCACACTGTTCCCTCGGCGCAGTGTCCCGCGGCTCCTCAGCGGTGATGCTCACGCAGGGACTCACGGGGCGACCAAGTGGCGTGCTGGGCGGCTGACGGCAGGAGAGGGGGCCGTCAGGGGGCTCCTCTGGGTACGGCATCGTCCCCGGCTCCACACAGAGTGAGAGCAAAGAACCGAGGGGCCGCAATATCACAGTACAGAAAATAGTGTCCCCTTAACCTCCAGGAAACCGCTAAAAGCCTTCATGGGGGCGTCTCTCTCCAGCCGTGTCACTGAGACCTGCCCCCCTCATCCTCTGGCCCCAGGGTCCCCCTGGCCCTCACCGCCCCTGACCTCACCCCCAGCCCTGAGACCCCCTCGCCCTCGCCGCAGGGCCAGAGCTCAGCTCTCCTGGGCTTCGGCAGCTCTTGGGCCACGTTGCACGTGTCAGCCTGGCACTCCAGGTGAAGCCCAAGGACAGAAGAGACGTGGTTCCTTGAGGTCCCCAGGGCCACTCGTTTAGAGGACAGGAGCGAGGGAGGGAGCGAGCCCTCCGGCCTGTCGGTACTTTGGTCCACTCCTAAGTGGCCTGCGGTGTTGCCTGCAGGGGGATGTCCTGACCACCGAGTACCAGGTGGATCTCGGGGACGGCTTCAAGGCCATGTACGTGAACCTCACGTTGACTGGGGAGCCCGTCCGGCATCGCTACGAGAGCCCCGGCGTGTACCGCGTATCCGTCAGGGCGGAGAACACGGCAGGGCACGACGAGGCGGTGCTCTTTGTCCAGGTCAACTGTAAGTCCCTCGCCCCCTTGAGGCCAAGTGTCACCCGTGACAGAGAGGACCTGGTCCTTGGGGAAGCACAGCCGGGAGGCAGGCAGGCTGGGCTCAGCGCCGCCCCCTGGTGGTCGGTAGCGGTAGGATTGGTGGTGGTGGTGACAGTGACCGTGAAGCAGTCACTGGCCTGGCCAGTACCCAGATGCCCTTTAACCCCTGACCTTTCCCGGGCCCCACAGCCCCCTTGCAGGCACTCTTTCTTGAAGTGGCCCCTGTCGTTGGCATCAACCAGGAGGTGAACCTCACAGCCGTGCTGCTGCCCCTGAACCCCAACCTCACCGTCTTCTACTGGTGGATCGGCCACAGCTTGCAGGTGTGCTGGCCCCGCAGGTCCCCCCAGGGTGGGGAGTGGGCACAGGGCACAGCCCTAGGTCCCTGGGGGGAAGTCCCGTTGCAAAGCGCTGTGCGGGAGAGGCAGGCACACACTGCCCTTTCTTCTCACCCCAAGTGTCTGCTGTGGGTCTGCGTGTGTCTGAGTGCGGTGGGCATAGGATGACTAGGATGACTTGGACCAGACCCTGCCCTTTCCAGGGGAAAGAGATGTGAACAAAGCAGGTGCCGAGTTACGGTGTGCTGCGTGTCACAGAAAGGGGTGAGGTGTATGAGGTTCCAGGAGATGCGAGGCCATTTCTAGTTTGGGGGTAAGGGTAGTCAGGGACAGCTTCATGGAGGAGGCAACCTGGGCTGGACCCAATCTCAGAAGCCTACCCAGAACCCTGGACCGGATGCTGTAAGCAGTAGGAAGCCACACACAGAACCTGGCAGGAGGTCCTGAAGACCTTTGTGGGCGAGGCTGCCCACCCTTAGCCTGGGGGGTCCTCAAGAGCCAGAGAGAGGCACCCTTCACTCATTCAGCAGACTGCAGCCCTGCACCCCAAGCACAGACCCCAAACAGCAGCTGGGGGCCCAGACATGGGGACCCAGGAGGGAGAGGCTGTGCACTTTGGATCGTGCTTCCCTGGCACCGGCCAGGTCAAGGAGAGAGCACGGGCTCCGGGTTCGAATCGCAGCTCACCCATTTCCAGCCAAGCCCTGTGGGCAGGCGCCTGTCTCCCCATCTGCGTGCCAGCCAGGCCTGACAAGTGTACCCCATCCCACAGGGTGGGTGCTGAGCCGGGCCCAGGGGGAAGGTGCCCCAGCTCATACACAGCACCAGAGCTGAGTGTGAGTTCAGGAGGACCAAATGGGGTGCACAGCTGAAGCCAGCCTTGCCGCGACGTTGGGTCTCCTGCATCACCGCAGAGGAGGGGCGCTGGGGGTGTCGCTGCCGTGCCAGCCTGGGGCCCGTGTCTCCGGGCCGGCCCCACCCCAGCACTGCTGCGGCCCCGTAGCCCATGGGAGCAGGGGGCAGCGGGCCTCAGCGCGGGCTGCTCTCCTGCCCCGCCCCCTCCCATGGCCCTGAGCCCTGTTTGTGCCCTGCAGCCCCTGCTCACCCTGGAGAACTCTGTGACCACGCGGTTTGCAGACCCGGGGGACACGCGCGTGACGGTGCAGGCCGCCTGTGGGAAGTCGGTGCTGCAGGACTCCAAGGTGATCCGCGTGCTGGGTGAGTCCCCAGGGTGGACAGCACCCCTTCTCAGGAGCCTCAGGGGATAGGTGGCATGGGTGTGCAAGCCACGGACATGCTGGTTACCCTGGGGCAACCCCAGGCTTGGGAGAGGGGCTAGTGGACACTTCCTGGTCTCTGTGGCCTCAGTTTCCCCACCTGTGAAATAAGTACCAGCTTGTTTCCCTTGTGTCCCTGGCACTCACGAGCCTCACGTGGCACAAGTGAGGACATGGCTGAGCAGCTTGACAAGGTTGCCCAGTAGGGCCAGGCGGGGCAGGGCACCAGGTCTGCCTGGCCTCCCAGGAGCCTGTCCCCGCCCCCCAGGAGCTGCAGGTTGTCACATGATTGTCACACGATTATATCTTAAGAAAAAGGATTCATGGCGGAGTCTCTTGAGACTCCTGACCCTGTGTCCCGTGCCCCTGCTCATCGTTGTCAAGGTCCCTGTGGTTTGTTATTGTTAAACGGCAGCCGGTGAGGCAGGCCCTGCCCAGGGCCACTGCTGCCACACAGGGTCTGAGCCCAGGGGCCGTCCCGGACCACCAGGTGTGGCTGCCCTCCACAGAGAGGCGGTCAGACTGCGCAGGACTGACCACCTCTCCCGTCTCTGCCTCTTCCCAGATCGATTTCAGCTCATGCCTCTGCAGTTTTCCAAGGACCTGGACGCGCACAACCCCAACACCCCCGAGTGGAGAGAGGACGTTGGCCTGGTAGTGACCCGGCTCCTCTCCAAGGTGCCCCCAGCCCACCAGTGCCTCCCCAGCACCACGGGCGCCTCAGAGAAACCCGGGGGGTGGTGTTGGTGGAGTGCCCCGGGGCCCTCAGGGGGCAGGGCAGGGGGAACTGCCCCGCACCATCATGCCCTGGCTTTGAAGCCGACTGGCCTGGGTGCTTAGAAGCCAGCGAGGGCCCACTGCCCTGGCTTGGGGGGCATGTGGCTGGAGTGTCACCTTATAAGGAAGGGACAGGACTGCATCCTCCCTGCACATCTATAAGCACCAGCTGTTCGCACAGGGCTCAGCTGCCGTCCTCCAATGACAGAACCTCTTTAAAGTGATTTTCATTTATTCCTGGAGCTGCTCTTCTGGGCCAGGCACTGGGCAGAGAGGGCTCAGTGCGAGCCTGCAGGGAGCTCGCGGAGGGCGGGGAAAGTGCGTCAGGGTGGGCACGGGGACCCCGAGAGTCATCCAAGGCTGTGGTAGGCTGAGGCCCACTCTGACTGCCTCCCCTCGGCCCGTTAATAATGCTGGTGATGTTGTCTTGGGTGCTGGAAGATGAGTGGGAGTGCGCCAGATGACAGCGCATGGCGTGGTGCTTTCAGGAGGCAGAGGGACCCACGTGAGCTGACCTTTGATGGTTGAGGGGTCAGAGCCCTGACACCTAGGCGGACAGTAGCCTGTGAGGCTGCCTCTGGCCGTGGTGTGAGGGGCAGGCCTGGCCTAGCAGAGGCCGGTGGGGGGGTGAGGACTGCTGCAGGGGCGAAGCGGGGCGCCATGGCGTGCAGGGTCAGGAGCGGCTTGCAGGGCAGATGGCCAGGACCCAGGTCGCAGGGGAGAGGGGCTCCTCAGGGCCCCGGAGAGGGGCAGGCACAGAGGCCGCTGCGGGTCTGAGTGGCTGTCGTCCCCGCAGGAGACCAGCATCCCCGAGGAGCTGCTGGTGACCGTGGTGAAGCCGGGGCTGCCCACCTTGGCCGACCTGCATGTGCTCCCGCCCCCTCCCAGGCCCACAAGGAAGAGGAGCCCCCCCAGTGACCAGGTATCCCCCGTGGCCGCCGAGGGCTTGGTGACGGATCACAAGCACGGGTGTCTCGGTGGCTCATCACCACATAAAGGCTCTCGGCAGCCACTGCCTGGCACAGGGGCTGGCCTCCTCTGCCTGCCGGCCATGCCCTCTGGGACTCACATGGCCTCCAAGGTCACTGTGGTGGGGGGCTCGGCCACCCCCTCCGGGGGGATGTGTGCCACTTCCTCTCCCACCACTGGCTGGAGCGGGTCACACCTCCCAGCCTAGCTGCCTGGGGTGCTGGGAATGTGGGCGAGCACCGCCCATGGGCACAGGTTTCAGAGCAGAAACCATCCCCCATCCAATGAGCAACTTTCAAATAACAGCCCTCACTGATTGGGCAGTGACAGGCACGGGGCAGGGGGCACTCAGAGACGAACTGGGACCACGTCACACCCTCTGGGGCAGCTGCACATCCTTAAAACACAGACAGCAGCCAGCACGCAGCGGCTGTGAGACGGGCCGTCCTCGCTGCGGCGGGATGGGGGCTGTGGCGCCCTGGGAACAGTGGGCAGGCGTTTGAAGTCAAACGCAGGGCGGCGTGTGACACGGCAGCTCCACCCCTGGTTATGGATCCCAGAGACCTGAAAGTGCGCAGGCGCGGACTTCCCCGTGGCTGTGCCGGCAGCCGTGGAAACAGCCCAGGTGCCCATCAGCAGATGAGTGGACAAGCAGATGTGGGTCCTCCACACCACGGAGTGTTAGTCAGCCACGAAAAAGATGACATTTGGACACATGCTGCAGCCTGGATGAACCTTGACACAACTGTAAATACACTAAAACCATGGAATTGTACACTTGAAAAAAGTGAATGTTACCTCAAAGGAAGGTGAATCAGAACCTCGGCTAACTTCTGGACCAGTGAGAACAGACGTGCGTGTGGACAGGCTGGAGAGAGTGCCCAGCGATAAGGCGGGATATAGACGCAGGCGGCACCGAGTGGGCGGGCGGGCAGGAGCATGCCCTTGCATAGACGAGTGAAGTGAGGCCGCCAGCAGGAAAACAAGAGGGCGCAGAGCCCCACCACCGCTCTGGCTGCAGAGCTGTGCCCCAAACCCCTCAGGCCGCCTCCTGATGGACGTGTGACTGTCTAGGCCGGACCCACTGCATTGCCCAAGGGCATGCCTCCACAGCCGCAGTGGGCGCTCGCAGACCTGCCAAGATGCCTGTGGATGTGGCACTGCTGGGGTTGTAACAGTGGCAGGCTGGGGGTGATTATGCTCATCTCTGAGAGAGGAACAGACGGCAGAGACTTGGCACAGCCTGGGGGAGGCTGGGAGTGTCCCAGTGTTGGCTCGGGCCACGGGCCCTTCCTCCCTTCCCAGGGCACAGGCACCCAGGCCCGCCTGCCTCCGCTGACGGTCACCTGCAGCCCCCTGACTGCAGAGGGGCCAATTCTGCAGGGGTCAGGGGCAGAGTGAGAGCTGGCAGGAGAGGAGGTGAGGGACAGGCGGGCATCCTGGCCCCGTCTGCCCGAGTCCTGAGTGTAAACCCCACACCCAGGGTGCGGGAGACCCCTAAGGACAGGCTGTGGCCCCCAGCAGCTCCCGCCACGCCGTGGCCCTGTGCTGAGGCTCTTCTCACAGAGTTTCTTTGAATCCTCACGCCGACCCCTCAAAACAGAAAGACGCCCCCTCCAGGCTGCACAGTGAAGGGCAGGGCAGAGTCTCCCTGCCCTTCGAGTCCCAGGCTGTGTTGGCCAAGGGTCACGCGTCCCTCACTCCCCGAGGCAGGCTGAGGCCTCGCAGAACCTCCAGAGAAACCTCACGGAGGCCGGGTTTGACCCCTGAGCAGGCAGAGCCGCTGAGATGGGAGCGGCGGGGGCTGCTGTCCATCAGAGGCCGCCTTCCGCGAGGACCCTGCACCCGCCCGAGTGCCCACACGGCTGCCAGCTTCCCTCCTGAACTCCAGGAACCCCTGGGGAAATGGCAAACCAGCTGCCCTCCCTGGCCGCCACCCCATGACCCAGAAGATCGCCCCCGGGGCCTCCCTCCCTCAGGTGCGGGCTCCCCCCACTGCCCAGGCCAACTGGCCCGCCCCTGTCCGCCTCTTCCTGGCCTTCTACCGCCCAGAAGCCTTCCCGGACCACCGCCGGCCCAGAGGCCTCCTGGAGCACGGCTGGCCCCCCAGCTTTCCCACGCTGCATGGCGCCGGCTGAAACCAGAGCTGGGGGGCAGGGCCGCCCTTGATGAGAGCCGGCTGCTGGGCGCGTGTCCCCATTTCACAGATGAGCAGCCTGAGGCCCCGGGCGGCTGAGTGGCCCTCCCTCCACTGCCCCCCCGGCTTTGAAGGGCTGGATCTCTCCGGGGTCTGCCTGCAGTTCCACCCCCTCTGGGGGGCTCCAGAGGGTCCGCCTCACCCTCCCCTCCTTCTTCCAGAGACTCATGGCCGTCCAGCAGGTGCTGAACGCACAGAAGATCGGCTTCCTCCTGCGAGGTGGGGTCCGGGTCCTGGTGGCTGTGAGGGACATGCAAACAGGTGAGAGGCCAGGCGCTCCCCATGGCCAGGCCCGGGCTGGCCCCTGCAGAGCTGGGCGGGGCAGACAGGCCCTTCAGGCAGCACCCCTCACTGTGGGAATGGGGTGGGGGCCTCTCCAGCTGCCCACGACCCGGCTGGGCATCACCCCCAATTAAAACTGGTCAGACCCAAAGCCTCGCTCTCATCTCCACTGTCGCAACACAGAGCTCTGGGTTCCCTTCTGGGCAAGAATCTTCCAGAAGCTGAACATCTTCCAGCCGCTCTTTGGAGACGTCGTGCCCACTGAGAAGGGTGGCAGGGTCAGCCCGTGCCAGCACAGGCATGGGCAGAGTTCTGTCCACTTTCCAGAAGGAGGACCAGGGCCCACGTTCACCCTGGGGGTCCTGAGGCCCCTCCAGGCCGCTGGCCCGCATCACCTGCCCGGGTCCCTCCATTGCACGGGGGAACCTGCCTAACCAGGGGAGTCGCCCGTGTCCGGGGAGCGGGTCCGGTGGGGCGGCGTCCACGCCAGCACTGACCCTGCTCTGTCGTCAGAGTCTCGGAGGCCGGGAGGCGGCGGCTACTGGGCGGCGGCGGTGCTCTTGGCCATCGGGCTCTGCGCAGCGGGAGCGTTCACCCTCTACAAATTCAAAAGGCAAGGCCGCTGGCCTCCCGGCGGGCGGGTGAGGACGGGCCTCCAGCACGCCTGGGGGGTCCGAGTTTGCTCGGGCCACTGGGGCGGGTGCTCGTCCGGCCCCTCCCAGTCTGAACCCCGAGGGAGGCGGGCAGCAGCTCTCAGCCCAGCACGTGTCCTCCACCCGTCTCCCCTCTGCCGGGCACACCCACCCCGTCCATCTCACCGAGGAGGAGGACGCCCAGGCTCAGAGAGGCGGGGTAACGTGCCCAGGGCCCCCCCAGGCTTCCCGCAGCAGCCGTACGTGCCTTCCTTCTGCGCACCCGCTGCAGTGCTGCTGCCAGCCAGGCCGTGGGGGGCTGTGTCCAGATGGGGGGACTGCCGGGGCGCCCGCGGGGCCGGCAGGGGCTGGCGTGAGGCTGCGGGGGGGCGGCGGGCACACCGTGTGGTCTCCGGCAGGGCCTTGGCACCCCTCTCCCCTCTGGTCCCCGGTCCTCATCTGCGAAATGCGTTTCATAACCCGCCATGCTGGGACCGCCCAGGGCCAGCCACAGGGCCTCTGAACCTGGACGTACCCAGATGCCGAACCTGGGAATGAGCAGAACGACCAGGAAGTGTCAACAGACTTATTTTCCAAAAAGCACAGCTTCAGATTTGACACTGCTGTTTCTCCCCATCTTCCTGGCTCAGCTCCAGCGGCCTCAGGGTCTCCTGGTCAGGGTCGCCCTTGGGGACAGTGCGAAGGCCCAGCTTATCCTTTCCCGCTCCTCTGGGGCGAGGGGATTTTGATGAAGGCACAGCCCCAGGCCCCAGGGCTCCGCGGGCCCCCCTCAGGCTGGGCGGCACCGTGGGTCAAGTGAGAAGGCATGCCCACCAGGCCAGCCAGAACCTGGGGTGCTGCTGGCCCGGGGATGCCGGTGACAGGGAAATGAGGGTAAAATGCCCTCTGCCTACAGCACACCCTCAGTCCATGTTGAGGGGAGATGCCCTGTGTGCTGGGCAGAGGGAGGCCCCGGCTGCAGGAGCTATGGCAGGAGGGCTCCCTGGAGGAGATGAGCCCCAGGAGTGCCGTCCACACCACACACGAGGGTGGCCCAGGGCCCAGCTGCCTGGGGGCTGGCAGGGACAGAAGGCCTGGGCACCACCCTGAGCCCCCACCTCTGCCCTTAGGAAACGCCCAGGCAGGACCGTGTATGCCCAGATGCACAACGAGAAGGAGCAGGAAATGACCAGCCCCGTGAGCCACGGCCAGGGTGGCCAGGGCGCCGTCAGGGGTGAGGCGCTCATAGAGGGCGAGCTCCACGCGCAGGCTCTAGGTAACGCACGCCCGGAAGCCCCCACCCCGGTGGGGATAGGATCGAGACCGTGGACCCCCGGGCACTGGCCCAGCGGTCCCCAGACACCCTTCTGTCCCCTTGGAGGATGGGGAGAGGCCAGAGTGGGGCCGGCCCCCACGGGGAAGCCGGCTGTCCTCGGGGTGCTGGGCCCCCGTCCCCTCCAGCACTCCTGCTCGCTGGAGATGACAGTCGCGCAAGCGTGATGCACACCTGCACCGCGCACGGCTCTTCACAGTTTACAGAGGGTTTTGTTGACGTGATCTCACTGACTCTCACCCTGCCCAGCAGGGAGAACACACCCTCCCGGCTGCCCAGCGCCCTGCTCAGCGTGCCTCTGCCCCTCATCGCTGTTTCCTCTCGTGGTTCTAGGGGTGACCGAGCCTGGCCACACGGCTCTCAGGGGCTCTGTTGAGGTCGCGTCGAGGACTAGGGAGGACTCACCTCACAGCTTTCCTGGCAGTCACTGCGGGCAGCCAGATGAGCCCTCCATGGGCTGTCCTCCGGCCCCTGACGCCTGCTGGGGCCTCTGGGTGGCTTGGGCTTCCTCACAGCATGGCGGCCAGGTTCCCAGAGACCTGGAGAGAGAGCGGCCGCATGGCAGCCGCACCCCCTTTCCCCACAGTCATACTGTCATTTGCACCTTGCTCTGCCTGTCAGGGCAGCCACCGATCTGCCCATCTTCAGGGGGAGGGGCCGGCCCCGGACAATGAGAAGCTTGGTGTGACCTAGCACAGTCCCCCTTCCGGCTCCTCGCTGGGCCAGGGAGGAGACAGGCTCTGGGAGTTTCTGAGCCCTGCCGGGTCTCAGGGCCGCTGCTCCACTGGGCAGCTAAGCCCCGTGCCCCTGACCCTCATTGACCCCTCCTCTCTCCTGCCGGCCTTTCAGCACCCACTTCCTGGAGGGCACGAAACCCCTCCTGCATCCCCCTGCTGCTGATGCCCGGCTCAGCCCCACTGCAGGTCAGTACAGGCAGTGGCTGGCCTTGGCCTCCCCTCTGGAGCCCCTCCAGGGTCCACTGCTCGTGCCAACCCCAGGAGAATGCACTGTCAGGCACCCTCCAGGAGGCGTGAACACCCCACTGCCTTTGCACTGCGTTCAGGCACAACCCACACGCTGCAGGAACCGAGGGGAGCCACCGCACCCGGCGACCGCCAAGACCACCACTGTGTGCTGTGTCCCGCACGGCTGTCTGCCCCCCTGCCCCTCCGCAGCCGAGGGGCCTGTGCTCACGGGCATCTTGGTGTTTCCTAGGGAATCACTCCGGCGTGGTCCTGAGCATCAACTCCCGCGAGATGCACAGCTACCTGGTGAGCTGATACCGCAGAGGCCCGCACCCGGAGCTCCGTCCCTGTTGTTTCTTCCCCATGGAGGGCACAGAGCCACAAACGCGCCAGCACTGGTCCTGGGACCAGCGCCCCCTCAGAATCCTGCGGAAAAGCCACTTCCTCCTGCCGCCCCCATGCAGGGTGACAGACGCCCCCGGTCCGTCCAGCCCCCTCCCTGGACACATGGTGCCGCCTGCTGTCCCCACTGCGACTCTGGGCACTTCTCCACCTCTGAGCCCCACGCTGCCGCGCTGGCTGCCTGCACCCCATCACCCCAGCCTGAGGGCCAAGGCCTGCCCACCTGGGATTGGGAGGCGGGGAGGTGAGCCCACCCGGGCGGCCGGAGCGTGCAGACCCCTCAGCCGCCCTGCTCCGTGGGCTCCTGTCTGCATAGGGGCACTGGAGGCCTATTTTCTTCCTCAGACCCACCCCAAAGGTGGCTCCTGGCTGCATGGCTGTCCCTGTGCAGGGACAGAATCCGGAATCCAGAAAGCCTGTGACCCGGCCCCAGCCCTGTCCCAGGCCCTCCCAGCACCACACACATGCCTCCCGCTGTCCCTCCTCTTTTTAAACTGCAGATAATGTGAATACCTCCAGGTAGCTGTTTTCTTTTGGGGGAGTTCTGTTCAATTTCTATTTCTATGGCCAGGTGGGAGCCCTCCGGGTGGCTTTGTCAGAGCCTATTTTTGAAAAGCCCATGTCCAGATTGCCCTGGGCTGCCCGCTGCCTGTCCTGGCTCCATGCCTCCCCGGGCCAGAGGGCCAGAGGTGCTCCCCGGGCCAGGGGCCCAGGGCCTGTGTTTTTGCAGCCAGCCAGCAGGTGGTGCCCTCCCACAGGTGCGCCCAGGGTCCCGCGCTTCCTTCTGGCCTGCGGTCCCCTGCAGAAACCCAGACCAGAGGAGGTTTAGGATGGCAGAGCCAGAAAGAGGGGCCATGCAGCATGTGGCCCTCATTTTGAAGATGGAGAAATGGAGGCCCCAAGAGGGGTACCCTTCCCAAGGTCACACAGCCGGGAGCAACTGTCTGCTCCCGTGCTGGACGATTCCTCGCACTCAGAGATACCTAGGATCAGGGACGCTAGCCCGTGGGCACAGGAACCCGGGGAGATTTTTCACCTTTTGCCTTGAAAGTCAGTACCCTTCCCCTTCCCCCCATCCTCTCCCAATCCACCCCCAAGCAGGTGGCCCAGGGCCTTTCCCTGGCAGGCGGGGAGCACAGAGCCCCAGGCTAGGAACTCACTGGCTGATGGTGAGTCCAGAGTGAAGCCTAGGGGGCGTGAACCCATCTCCTCCGGAAATGAAACATAACCTGCCAGAGGCGGAGGTCCAGGGAGGGTCCCCACACCCAGAACAAGCTCCTGACTCGCAGGAGCCCCTCAGTCGTTGGGGCGTGGAGGGGGCTTCCCTCCAATCCTGCACCTTTGTGTCCCAAATGGGGACTCTGAGACCACAGGGAAGATGGGGAACAGTGGGTCACACAGCCAGGTGGTGAAGGTGTGCCTCTCTTCACCACCCTGCTCACCAGAGGGGCTGCAGGGTACTCCCCCCAACACAAAGACGGCCCCCTGCAAGTTCTTGACCTTCCGTGGGGAAGGGCTGGGGCTCAGGGACGCGCCAACATGCAGCTGGTGAGGTGGGAATGGGAAGAGGCTGGGAGTCCCTGGACCTCCGCTGCAAGCCCCCTGCCCCCAGCCTGCCTGCAGGCTCCAGAGACACCTTAGGGAGCTCTGTGACCTCCGTCCTCCCCCACCCATCCCGTCCCACAAACGTCAGACACAGGGTCAGACACCTGTCAGCAGCGCCCAGGTCCAAGCCCGAGGTCGGCATGGATGCCCGGGACGAGCCCCTCCCAGCTCACCAGTGCCTGTGGGTGACCCCGCCAGCCTTGCTTGGCCACTCGACTTCATTCCCCCTGCTCTTTGAGTGGGTTTCATCCCTCAGTTAATTGTGTTTTTTCTTGTATTTCATGCTGTTATTTCTATTAAGAGTATTTTGAGTTTGTGGACCCTGGCACCTGGGACTAAGGTGGCATCTGGTATCACCTCATCCTTTCCATCCCCATGACCTTAGAGCTGGGCACGTGGGTCTGGGTCTGGTCGCACATCCGAGGCTCCGTACTTCCGACGTCCAGGTATATATAGGAACCTGGGATAAGATGCAGTCTGCTGAGGGCAGCCGGCGATCTGCGCCACCAGGCCGTGCCCGTTCTCGGTACATGCACATGACAAAGATGCGATAAAGTCTTTCTTATTTTTCCTTTTTAAAAATCAATAAATCATTTGTGATGCTTTTAACAAAGATCACATGATAATGACCAGCGTCTGCCTTATTACAGAGGTGTGTTTCGACACCGACTCCGCGTACACGCCCAGGCCCCTAGGCCCGGGGTCACAGGGCCCGTGGGAGGGGCCGCGGGGCCTTCCTGCTCCGCGTCGCTGCGCCCAGAACACGGCGGCCGCGTGTGGGCGCACTGCCTCCTCCTGGGACCCCAAGAGCATCGAGGGCCTGGAGCCCACAGCCCGGGTGCACCCGGGCCCACGGGCCCCCTTCCTGCCGAAACACCGAAGCTGGCTAGTCGCTGGGCGCACAGAGGGTGGCCGGACTCCCCGAGCGCAGCCGGTGCCCCGGGCCCGGACCTGCGCCCTCAGAGCCTGGTGGCCAGCCTAGTGGCCGAGTGGCCGCACTTCTTCCCCAGAGTCTCAGCTGCAAGGCCTTGTAAGGAACATGAACGTCCGGCCACCCTCGTCCTGCCCGCTCACAGTCTGAGACACAGAAACACGCGGGACGCTGTT